TCAAATGTAGAATTAGAACATTTCTGCATGGATATTATAGACCTGCAAACCAAAATAAGTGATTTGCAGGATTCCCCACTAGAAAAAGGACTACATTGGTTTATAGATGGGTCCTCTGTGGTAGAAGGGAAGAGACAAAACGGCTATGCAATTGTTGATGGGACTGATAAGACTCTGGTGGAGGCTGGAAGCTTGCCTAAATTTTGGTCTGCGCAAACCTGTGAACTATATGCCCTTAGACAAAATTTGAAATTATTAAAAGGAGTATCTGGCACTATTTACACTGACTCTAAATATGCCTCTGGAGTGCTCCACACATTTGGGAAAATTTGGTTAGAAAGGGGATTGATGAATTCAAAAGGAAAAGGGTTAATACATGAGGATTTAGTTAAAGAAGTAATGGAAGCTTTAAAACTACCCAAACACATTACTGAAGTACATGTAGCCAGACATCAAAGAGGAGCAACTTTCGAAGCCATAGGAAATAATTTAGCTGACCATGAGGCTAAGGCAGCCGGAAGCCAAGACCCAGAAATGATTATGTTTACAACTCCAACTTTAAAAGGAGAACTCGTTCCAATTTTCAGTGAGGTTGAAGAAAAGATGTTGTTAAAAATTGGGGGCAGAAAGGAATGAAGAAGGAAAATGGATATTACCTGGAAGGCAGATATTGAATAAGTCTATAACACGTGAGGTGATCCAAACTCTCCATGAGGGATCGCATTGGGGAGCCCAGGCTTTAGTGGATGTGTTTTTGAAAAAGTATGGTTGCAAGGGAATTTTCACTGTTGCAAAACAAATAACGGCAAGAAAGTTAATAAGAAAGCTCTGAGAGCAACAGAAATGGGGGGGAGACCTCCTGCACTAAGACCTTTTGAACACATACAAATAGACTACACTGAACTGCCACCTAGTGGCTGAATAAGGTATTTACTGGTCATGGTCGATCACTTAACCAAATGGGTGGAAGCTTACCCCACTGCAGTGGCTACAGCTAACACAGTGATCAGGATCTTATTGGAGCATATTATACCAAGATATGGGGTAGTGAATGTGATTGACAGTGATCAAGGTACACATTTCACATCTAAAGTATTACAAGGGGTCATGGGAGCACTGGGAATAATGTGGGAACATCATGTGGCCTGGAAAGCTACTTCGTCAGGCCAGGTAGAACGGGCTAATGGTTTATTAAAAGAACAATTGACCAAGTTAATGATGGAGTTGAAACTCCCTTGGACTAAATGTTTATCACTGGCACTTCTTAGACTACGAACTAAGCCCAGGAAGCATATTGGTTTACCTCCCTATGAAATGCTGTTTGGATTGCCCTACCTGGGCAGTCTGGAAAAGGATGAAGGAATGGAACTAAGGGACAGAAATGTGAGAAAATATGTCTGTGATCTGTCCAGATATTTATCTATCCTTAGGACAAAAAGACTGCTGGCCCAATGCCCTCCGCTTGACCTTGTGGTCCATCCATTCCAACCAGGACAGTAGGTGTTGATCAAAACCTGGAAAGAGGAAAAACTCCAACCCAAGTGGGAAGGACCATTCCAAGTGCTTCTCATCACAGAAACTGCAGTCTGCACAAAAGAGAAGGGGTGGACCCACAATACCAGAGTGAAAGCCAGCACCGAACCAGTTTGGACTATAGAACCCAGTGAAAATCCTCTGAAATTCAAAATTCACAAGCATTCTAAATGACTCTAAATGCAGTTGCAATAGGGGGATTTGTGCTCACTGGAATATTGGTTGTTGTATGGTTGTTGGTTCTGTTCTTCTTTTGCAGGACGGATTGGATGTCCACACTATTATTTGGCAAACCACAACTTGAGGAAATTGAACTACCGAATCAGAAGGCTGAGCAACTACCTGATTTGCTGGTTTTGTGATTGCAGGTGTTGGTGTAATTGCTGTTGTTGTACACATTGTTGTGATTGTGCCCCAGTTCATGGAAATTATGTAGAAGAGTGAGACTTAGTTATAATTGAAGGCCTCTTAGGATTGCCTCATGAGGAGGATGAGGACTAGGTAGGATGACCTGGTGATAACTGAGTGGTACTGTCAGTACTTTTATCGAGCAATCCAGTTTGTTTACTCTTACTACTAAGGACATCCCCCTTTTCAGTAAATGCTAGAAGAACATTGGAGGTGGGCATTGTGGGTTTCCTTGTTAAGTTTGGGGATTCTGGGGTATCTCCTAATCAATAAGAAACTCTACTGTGAAAGACTTAAACCCAACCCGGGACCTAACCCACAACCACATGTGTAAGTTCTGTGATTGTCTTTGTTGGTACAATTATCCAACCTGTTGTTGTTGTTACCACTGCCTAAACTGTGGGGACACCCATGGGTTTTGTGCCTTTTTGTATGGATCATGTGATGGTACCCCTAAGCCTGAAGAAAATGCCAATCCTATCAGGAGTGATATGCCTCCTGATAATGACAGCAGGGATAACCCAGACAGGAATCTTCAATGCTGTAGGCCAGTAACTAGGCATTCCAAGTATTCCAGAGTTCCACTGATTATCCCAGCCAAGATCTATGCAGGAATTCCCCTCTCAAGCTTTGGTGAAATAATGGAAAAAGGAACTTATACTGGTGAAAGAGTATATCAGATTACCCTGACTCAAGATCATAAGGATCATAGGAGGGGTGAGAAAGTTTGTATTCAGCTGAGCATGGGAAATCCCAGCAATCTAGGGTTATGGAAACAAATCCAAAAGGAGAAGAGAAGGCAGTCACAATCCAAGCCCAAGCCTAAACCAACACAAAAGCTGCCTACTGCAAAACCGCACGTGGTATCCCTTAAAGTGGCAAAACCAGTTCCCCCAGCACCTAGAAAAAGGTATTTAAACACCTGGTTAGAATGGGCTAAATATACAGTTAAGAGTCTAAATCAATCTGACTGTTATATTTGTTTACAAGGGAGACTTATAGGGAATGTAATACCTCCCCCACTGAAGTGAATAATCTGGGAATGCTTTCTTATTTCAGCACCAAACTGCATGGGATAAACCAGAATGTCAAGAAGCTGTCCATCGGTTTCCCTGGGAGAGAGGATATAACTTCCTGGAAGCCCCTTATTTTAGTGAGCCAGGGAATGTTACCTTTCCCCATTGTCTAAGCAGACCTGGGAACAAACCTCCTCAATATATTGGGACAGTGAAACAATGTGAAAAGATTTAGCGTCTGTAATAAAACTGATAGTCTGTGTGCTAACTTGACACAGCTAAAAATTTCCAGAGCAGATATCTGGTGGTATTGTGGAACAGATATCCTACACCCAATTTTACCAGCTCAATGGACTGGGACACGCACAATAGTTATGTTAGGAACCCCAGTCTTAATTGCCTCCCTATGATCACCTAATACAAACTCCTCTAGTTCAAGGATAAAAAGGGCACTGGCAACCTCCTTTGATGATAGAATATATATAGATGCCATTGGGATTCCTAGAGGAGTGCCAGATGAATACAAAGCAAAGAATCAGATACTGGCTGGTTTTGAGTCATCTCTCTATTTTGGTGGGTAACTATAAACAAGAATGTGGATTGGATCAATTACATTACAACCAACAAAGATTCATAAATTATACTAGAGATGCAATTAAGGGCATAGCTGAACAATTGGATGCTACAAATCGAATGGCCTGGGAGAACTGATGAGCATTAGACATGTTGTTAGCAGAGAAAAGAGGTGTTTGTGTAACGGTAGGAGAAAAAGGATGCTGTACTTATATTCCTAATAACACAGCCCCAGATGTAACTATCACTAAGGCTTTGCAGGGACTAACCACTTTATCAGAAGAATTGGCTGCCAACTCTGGAGTAGACACTTCATTCACCAGAATATTAGAATCATGGTTTGGAAAATGGAAAAATATAATAATAATAATAATAATAATAATAATATTAATAATAATAATAATAATAATAATAATAATAATAATAATAATAATAATAATAATAATAATAATAATAATAATTATTATTATTATTATTATTATTATTATTATTATTATTAATATAAAAAAAGTTGGAAGGGACTTTGGAGGTCATCTAGTCCAACCCCCTGCTCAGGCAGGAAACCCTATACCATTTCGGACAAATGGCTGTCCAGTCTCTTCTTAAAAACTTCCAGTGTTGGAGCATTCACAGCTTCTGGAGGCAGGTTGTTCCACTGGTTAATTGTTCTGTCAGGAAGTTTCTCCTTAGTTCTAGGTTGCTTCTCTCCTTGATTAGTTTCCACCCATTGCTTCTTGTCCTGCCTTCAGGTGCTTTGGAAAATAGCTTGGCCCCCTCTTCTTTGTGGCAGCCCCTGAGATATTGGAACACTGCTATCATGTCCCCCCTCGTCCTTCTCTTCATTAAACTAGACATACATATACTGGTTCCACTTATCCAACCGACTCAGCCCATGTAGTTAATGGTTCAGAGACCCAGAAACTTCGTATGCACTAAGAAACTCCGGCAAAGTTTGGCATCAGCTAAAATTAATCAGTGTTTCTCAACCTTGCCAATTTTAAGGCATGTGGACTTCAACTCCCAGAATTCCACAGCCAGCAATGCTGGCTGTGGAATTCTGGGAGTTGAAGTCCACATGCCTTAAAATTGTCAAGGTTGAGAAACACTGAGCTAAATCAAGGGTCTTCAAACTTGGCCCTTTTATGACTTGTGGACTTCAACTCCCAGAATTCCTCAGCCAGCGTACCTGGCTGAAGAATTTGGGCGTTGAAGTCCACAAGTCATAAAAGGGCCAAGTTTGAAGACCCCTGGGCTAAATGTCAAAGAACAGACTTTATCCATTGACTTGCAAGAGAGGGGGGGGGAAGAGCATTTTCACCACCGAGATATCAAACCTCCAAATCCTAGACAAGATCTTTCCTCTCTGGACCCGCCCAGGACAGCGCCCCAACCGTCGCCCAGGCTCCCGGAGTCGGCCGCTCCGCCTGCTCGGCTTACTCCTCCTCGGTGGAAAGGGAGGTCACGTGTCGGGGGCGTGGAATGAAGTGACGACCTCTTCGATCACATGATAGTGGCGCGGGCCGGAGTTATACGGTTGCTTGGGGCGGGGGGCCCAAGGAGTCTGGCTGACAATGGTAAGTGAGCGGCTGCCCGGTTAAGGAAGCGGGGGAGTATTAAGGCTATTGGGGCGCGCCGCGGTGGAACCGACGGTTGGAATGGTGAATGGTGAGTTGTGAACGGTGCCAAGTGCTGCTGCTTTCCCCTTGGCCCCCTTTCCCACCCTTCTGAGCGGGCCGGGCCTCGGGCGCTCTTGAGGCTGTAAGAAAGGCTGGCCGTTCCCATGGAGACGGGGTTCCCCCCCTCCGTTTCTTCTTCGGCCGTTGTTGACTCCGCCCCCGCCGAGGGCCGTTTCTCGGCGCGCGGGGGCGGCCACTCGACTTCGCCCCCCCTCGTCCCTCCGCGCGCGCCTTCCGCCTTCCTTGGTGACGTCGAAATCAGTCCCGTGCGCGCGCGTGCGCGCACTCGGGGGGGCGGGGGGCGAGGGGCGGGTGGGGGGGGGAAGCTCTGGCGGTGCTGCCGGGCCGGGCGCGCGTCTTGTCTACTCGCGACCCGCGAGAGCCAAGGCGCGGAGAACGTGTGGAAGGCAACCTCGCGGGGATTGCAGCGTCCCGTTGCATCGCGGCGGCTCCTTTGGATCTGGAGTGCTGCACCTTCCAACTTCCCCCTTAAGTGTCCTTGGGTGGTTACCGAAGGCGACCAGATCGGGGTTGCAAAAAAAAACCCGAAGGGCCGCTAAATGGCTGCCCCGAGTTACGTTCTGCTGCTTTTGGGTGCTGTCTGGTGTTTCTCCCGGGCTTTAGTCGTGCTGGCGTGTGCTTAGGGGAAGCACACCCGAGCTGCCAAATGAGGTATGGGGAACCTCTCTTGCTGGGGTTGTCCTTTGGACAGGTAGGATAATGCCGTTTTTGATTAATTTTTAAAAAGCCAAAGCTATGCTGGGAATCCTTGAAAGGAAGACTCACTTTTCTTATGCAGCCATTACTGAACGGTTGCCGTCTTTTTATCCTGATGTGTACCTAAACCAGGGGGTCTTCAAACTTGGCCCTTTTATGACTTGTGGACTTCAACTCCCAGAATTCCTCAGCCAGGCATGCCTGGCTGAGGAATTCTGGGAGTTGAAGTCCACAAGTCATAAAAGGGCCAAGTTTGAAGACCCCCTGATCTAAACTTTATTTAAGTAGTGAGCCTGAAGAGCAGCAATGGGCTTGATTTAACAATTATTATTATTATTTTTTTATTATTATTATTTAATTTGTACCCCGCCCTTCTCCTCATAAAAACCACAATACAACCTCATAAAAACCTCATAACAGCCTCATAAAAACCTCATAACAGCCTCATAAAAACCACAATACAATAATACAATAATATCTATATTAAAAACCGAATTAAAAGAAAATATTTAAGGAGGCCAACAATCCAGCTGGGGGAATATAAGTTATGGAAGCTGATAAGTACAGAAAATGAACTCATCGTAATATGTTCACTGATACCTGCGGAGTTTATTGCTCTCTTATGCTTGGCTGGAAAAAGAATATAAAAGTTATGGACAAAGTTTGAGTTAGTTTGTTGCATTTTTTTCTCAAATACACAGTTGAATGACATTGCTGTTTATTTTACGTTTTAAACTCTGCCTTTTTGCGAGGGAAAAGTAAATATCTATTCAATGATTGCTCCAAGGAAAAGCATTGTTAGATAAGTTGTGTTGGTGCATTCCTTCCCATGTGTTGAATAACAGTGCGCACCGGCTGCATATTTAGGATGGTAAGACGTTGCAACAATATTGCAAGTTCTTAAATTAACTGATTTCGTTATTCTTTAAAAAGGACATGAAATGTACAAAATGTATATTTATTAAACAGAAAATAACAGCTTCCATGAGGCAAATGACCCTCTTAGGATTCTTGTACTCATGTTTCCCCCTCCCCCAGTGGGGAGATATAGGTCTACTATATCTAGGCTAAAAAAAATATGGACAATCTTGGATGATAAACAGAGAGCAACAGAAAGCAAACTCTGGTAGTTGCCTGCTTTTTTGCCGTCCAGATATGGTACCATATCAAGCTATGGTCACTGTATTTATCATTTAAAGTATATGGAGTATAAGGGGGAGTCAGTTGCAGATTTGCAGCTCATTCCCCACAGTCATGTTTAAATACTTCATTTACATGATATGCCTCTGGAATGAATCATGGCTAAATTGGTTTCTCAGTGATGCTAAACTAGCTGGCTCAGCAAATTAAAAAGAGCCTTGGTTTGATAAGGAGCAACCATTTTGGTCCATATTCTTGTCATCTTTGTTTAGCTGTTGGCTATTACTTCCTTTTTCTACAAATGTTTTAAAAAATATCCGATGGCGGATGAATGGTGGAGAGGCTTGACTATTCCATCCTTTTCACGTGACAGGAGGGAGTTATGGAAGGGGGAAAATAGTGGCTGGAATATTCCCATTTTGTAGGGTCTCCAAAGTCTGCAGGATCCTATCTGGGTCAGTCACCGGGACCAAAAGTTTTGTCTTCTGGGCTTTTGGACTCATGCTGGAGCCCATCCTCAGGGAACTTCTCTCTAGCCCTCCTTAGTCTGTTTCTATGCCACAAGCTAAGAAAAAAAATCTTCTAGATGAAGATGATACAGCAAGACCAAGTTATAATAAAATTTGCAAACATTTCTCCTTCTTAAATTAGAATTGCCTGGAAAATCATCTTTCCATGATTTTGAGCAAAATAAATTATACAGTAGATGAAAGGTGTTCGTGGAAAAGAGGGAAGGAGAAAATACATTTGAAGTTATACATTTGGGTCCTCACTGTGCCATTCTTAGATCCAAAATGCCTAGTAATATTTCCCTCAGTGCCTGCTAGGTTTCCTGATTTATTTATTTTTTGAGTTTTAGGCACCAGCTTCAGAGTAGAGGCATTTCCAGCAATGCCTCTACTCTCACAGAAAATAAATGGTAGATAGTTGTAGCTCAGTGCTGTTTTTAGTCAGTCAATCTTTCCTTTGGTCAAAGACCAGCATAGAACAAAACAATTAACAGACTGTTTATAAGTAAAAAAAGAAGGACCACACATAAAATGTAAGCTAAAAGAATAATACAGAGTATTATGAATGAAGGCAAATTCAGAGTATTATCACTATTGTTACCATTGCAAGCTACATCTTCAGGAGCAAAATCCCCAGAACATTATTTGTCTAAAACTAAGACATAAAGCTAAAAAACTAAAGTAAAAGTAGGTTAAGATAAAATAGAATAAGGTGACATCTATTTATATGTACGTATTTTGATATTGTTCAAAAGCTAGGCACAGTTACAGTATATTGAGGAATGGGAATTGGCCAGCTTAAATCTTGCCTTACTAGCACAATAATAGAATTTGATAACATCTGGAAAGGTAAGCAGAATGTTTATGTTGAAAGTGTCAGTATATTTACCAGGTGAGGAAAAATATCTGTATAAAAGCAATAGTAGAGGTAAGTCCTTGACTTACATCCATATTTTAGATTACTAAGTCGGTGAGATGTCATGTGACTGCACCTACTTATAAAGCAATCCTGGTATTTCCTATTGCAGTCATTAACTGAGAATCCGCAGATTACCTTCTATCGGCCAGTACGCTCCCACAGAGTGGGTCTCCTCAGGGTGCCGTCAGCCAGACAGTGCCGGCTGGCGACCTCCAGGGGGAGGGCCTTCTCGGTGGGAGCCCCCACCCTCTGGAACGAACTACCCCCAGAGATCCGGGTGATCCCGGATCTCCCCTCCTTCCGCCGCGCCCTAAAGACATGGCTCTTCCAACAAGCGGGNGGGATTGGCCTAGGGAATTTTAGTGGGGTTTTTTAAGAGAAATTTTAATTATATAGGCCATAACAAATATTTCTTTTTAATTTGGTTTTAAATTAGGTATTTATTGTTGCATTGTTTTATAAGGCTGTTAGCCGCCCTGAGTCCGGTAAGGAGAAGGGCGGGATATAAATTGAATTAATAAATAAATAAATAAATAAATCATGGGTCATTAAGTAAGCACTCACCCCAATCCATGCCATTCTGGGCTCAGCCCCTCCCAGCCCTGAACCTCAGGTAAGGGACTGCCTCTAACGCCCCCCATTCACCTGTCTCTCCCATCTATGCCCTTTTGGCCCCTGCCTTAAGGGCAGCAATCAGCAAGTGCCAGCAAACATTCATTTGCCCAATTACTTCCCCCCCCCCCAGCTGTATGTGGCTTACCCAGCCTGAGTCAACCAACTGCCAGCAGGCATTCATTTCTCCCAGTTCTCTGCACTGACCTTTGGCCTCTTGCTGTCTCCTTTTCAGACCTGGTTTCTCCAGCAAATGTTTCCTACAGTACTGGGCCTTTGTAAAGCTGTGCTGTCTTCAGAATGCCTTTGGAAAGATGGCTTTTTTCAAAGAGAATGCTGCTTTACAAAGACTCAGAAAATCATGTGTACTGTAAGAACACTCACTGGAGAAGCTGGATCCAAAGAGGACACAGCAAAAGGTGAAAGGTCTATGCCAGTGTTTCTCAACCTTGACAATTTTAAGGCATGTGGACTTCAACTCCCAGAAATCCACAGCCAGCATTGCTGGCTGTGGATTTCTGGGAGTTGAAGTCCACATGCCTTAAAATTGTCAAGGTTGAGAAACACTGGTCTATGCAAGGAATTGGGGAAAAAGGCAACTGGGTAAATGAATGCTTGCTGGGGCAGGCTGGGGGGAGCAAACAAACACTTGCTGGTGCTGGCTGGACTGGTCTGGAACAAATGCTTGCTGGCATATGCTGCGCTGGACTGGGAAGCCAGGTGTGGCTGAAGAGAAAAGGCAGCTGGGTGAATTAATACTTCCTAGGGCAGGGGTGTCAAACTGCCAGCCCATGGGTCGGTTGCATCATACGGAGGCTGCGCCCACTCCAGCTCCGTCAATGCAAAAAAAGTCACAATATATGGCGACACGTCACGTGATGTGGCGAGTTTGACACCCTTGTCCTAGGGCAGGGGTAGGCAACCTTGGCTCTTTTATGACTTGTGGACTTCAATATCCAGAATTCCTGAACCAGCCATGCTGACTCAAGAATTCTGGGAGTTGAAGTCCACAAGTCATAAAAGAGCCACGGTTGCCTACCCCTGTCTATGGTATGGCAAGCAGTCCCAGAGCTGCATGATTCTGAGGCTGTTTGCCTCCTTGCAAAGCAGAGCAGCAGCTAGCCAAAAAGGGTATATCGATGAGAGGGAGGTAGGCGGGTGAGGAAACTTGAGGTTGTAAGTGTGTGCAGGCTGCCAAGCTCCCAAATTTTAATCACAGGATCATGAAGATGTTACAGTGGCTGTAACTTGGACAGGAGTTGTTCATTTTTCCGGCATTGTTATCACCTCAGCAGGTGCTGAATGAATGGCTGTAAGTCAAGGATTACCTGTACAGTAGAACGTGGGGAATACATTTTATGGCACCCATTTTATTTGTGCTTTGTTTTGGAAGGGCGCTCTCCTGCAAAGAAAGCGTTAAGTTGGCAGACAGCATAGAGAATGATAAAAGAGACTGGTAGGAAGTAACAACCTCATTAACCTGTATCTCATAAGAAGGTGTATTGTAACTGGTTGAATCCATTATGGTGGCCATTTCATAAAAATAGTGTCCAACTAGCCCAAACTTTAGAGACTACTCTTATAGGCAGAATCTCTGAGCAGGGGTTTGTAATATATTCTTATATGTTAATTTAGGCTTAATTTAGGGTCTAATGTAGTTCAAATACCACATAACATATTTTTCTTAAAGAATCATG